GTAGAAAAAAATAAACTAGTTGGTAGAAATTCTAGTTCGAAAACTGGTATTAAATAGCGAAGTCATACCAGTTCGTCATGGACTATAATTATACCAGTTCTCCGCAGTGAAATTCCAAACCAGTCAGTATAAATACTAGTTCATTAACTAGTATGTGCTAAAGCGAGGGCCTACCATTTCGGCGATTTCGAACAACTTATGCGATCAGCGACATCTGTCTTTGAACAGCCACAACCAAAACTAAAATGCGGTTAATTGCTTTCATCACGAATGTCGGCTGTGGCGTCGAGAGAAGACTACCGATTCTGGTTCTGAGATCTCAGATGCGAATGCGCTTGGAGGTTGTTAAAGTAAACTAAGTAAATTAATTTAAATAATTATTTCAATTTAAATATAAAATAAAAATTATACATAAATTAAATTTCATTTGGAAAAAACATAAATACTCAAATACCATAAAACAATTAAAATAATTATTTGTTCTTTTTAAAACAGTAAATTTAAAAATAACAAGAGATATAAATAAATAAGTAAAATAAAAATAAAAAAAAGATTCGCTCACTGAGATTCGAACTCGGAACCCTTTATTTGGCGTGCCGAAGCTTTACTCTGTCGACCATTGCCACAGTTTCAGCGCCGCGAGCAAAATGGCATACTTACGCTTTTCACAGGGGATGAGTTGGCAGTCTATCCCGTCAGCTGGTGTGATAATACTAGTATTTCTACTGGTAGCGTGCTGATGCAGGAGCGGACAGTTGACATCTCCTATGACACCGCCATGTTAAAAATACCAGTCGCTAACATTGAAAAATGATACAACGTGAACTAGTTGGGCTGAAACGCAAACTGGTAGCATTCTGGTTCACAACTGGTAGCTTTCCGTGCAGGGAAATTACGCTATAATTGCACGTATACATATACATATGCATTGTCGTCAGTAGTAGAAGTAATAGAAAAGTCTTCCCATCCTGCAGGGAAACCGCGGACTAGTGAATCAAATTTCTAGTTCCGTACTAGGTCTTTATCGCGAAAAACCAACTAGTCCGCTAGTAACTAGATCCTCACCAGTCCAAAATCGGCGAAAAGTGGTACTTTTAAAAAACTATTTTTTTTTTTTAGTTTTTTTCACTAGAAATCTATTGTATATCTAAAGTGACGAATTCAGAAATTTTTGCTCATTCTGCGCTACTGTTCAGTAAATAACTATGCACTTATATAAGTACATGCATATAGATCAGTGCCCGCCAAACACTTTCCTGGGAAACGAACTATATTCGGCCTTTCACATGTACACAATCGGCTTCTTACACGTACACAATCCGAACGTCAACAGCAAGAGTGGAAGAGCAACAAATTTTATTTAGTTGCATGCAAACAATAGGAGAAGCAGGTTGCTGACGCATTATTGTTGAATAAAGTAGGTACACTGAGCAGAATGAATGAATATTCATTCAAAAATTTTATAACACAAATTTTCGTATATACACCCCTAGAAATAGGTATGTATATGGTACCAAGTCGTGCTTTTTCTTCATATTAAAAGAACTTTATGAATTATGTATTTTTTTAATACCAGACTCAATTCAAGTCCTCAATTAAAACATACAATATGTTTTGTTATTTATCTTTTGGTTTCATCGTTATTTTAAATTGTTCTTAAATGTCAAGTTTTACCTAATTTTAAAATAAATATATATTAGATATATATTTTTTTATTTTATTTCTACTTGAAATCAACGAAATTTTCTTTTAATATTCAGAGTGCTCGAAGCACGTTATATTTTATGCTCAGAAATCCACACTTAAATTATAAAAAAAAACAATAATAATTTTGTACAATACATACAAAATTTTACCAACTTTTTCCTTTCTTAGGGCCGTTAACTTTTATTATATGTTTCTATAGAAAAAACACGTCTTCTTCTATCGCCGATTTCACGCAAAAAAAAGGAGTTTATTAAAAGATATTCTTCTCTATATACATTTCATTTTGTTTTGACATTTCGTCTTAGTGCTATTCACTTAACAATCGGTGACACCTATCGACTATCTATATATATAAAATTCAAATTATGTATGTACCTATAGACACACTTGGCTCCTAAACGAATAAGCCGATCGTAACCAAATTTTACACACGCACTGGATATCTTCCAGGGATGGTCACAGGGTAAAAAATATTTTGATATATAAAGGGGGCGTGGCCCCAAAACGTGGACCCGGGTAACCTTAGGATGTATTTGTTTAATATGGGTATCAAATTAAAGCTGTTCATGAGTGCTTTAAGATAGAGCAATTTTCATATAGCTGGGTGACTAGGGTCTCGAGATATAGACCAAAATGTGGACCTGGGTAACCTTGGGTGTATTTGTTCAATATGGGTATCAAATGAAAGCCGTTCATGAATGCTTTAAGATTGAGCACTTTTCATATAGCTGGGTGAC